AACAGGAGCAACTAAACCGAGTGGATCATAAACAGACGCGACGAAGGATAAAATTCCTCTTCTGGTTTCTGCTTTGAGGTTTCCATTACGAAATCCTAGGCTGTCCGTTTCTGTGTTCCATTGAACACCCAACGCTTTATCCTTTGGTAAATGTTCCAATTGCAAACTGACGCATGGCGCTCTTTCGTTATCTGGCACGTGGGATAATACTTCTCTTTCATTCGACAACCATTTGGTAAGTCGGAACCCGCCGCGAGACAACAATACCGGGAGCTCTTCCACTAAATTGACAGCTTCTTCTTTAGTTGGTAACGATTTCAAGCAATCGTCTACATAAAAGTCACGATTCACCGTGTCAATGACTTGCTTACTGAAGTCATGCTTATTATCTTCGGCGGTCTTCTTTAATGCATACGAACAACAACTTGGCGAAGATGTTGCGCCGAACAAATGAACGGTCATTTGGTGTTCAACTGGTTCTTTCGACAGGTCTCCTTCTGGCCACCACAGAAATCTCAGCGCTTCACGGTCTTGTTCCTTGACGTTGACTTGATGAAACATCTTCTCTATGTCAGCCATCACAGCTACTCTTTCTTGACGGAATCGCAACAACACGCCAACTAACGAATTTGTAAAGTCAGGTCCTTGAAGTAGGTGATCGTTGAGGGATGTATTGTGGTACTTTGCAGCACAGTCGAAAACGATTCTCACCTTCTCTGGCTTTTGTGGATGGGTCACAGGGTGATGGGGTAAGTACCAGATAGGTTTCTTAGGTGATGAACTATCCGGATTATCTCCTTCATTCGGTTGAACTCTCTTGGCATGTCCCTTCGAGATGTATTCCTCCATTGTCGCCTTATATTTAGCATGAAGGGTGGGATCTCTCTCCAGTCTTTTCTTCAAATAGCCCAGTCTCTTTTCTGCCATAGATCTATCATTCGGTAAGGTTGGTTCGCTATACTTCCATGGAAGGCCAATCTCGTAGTGCCCATCTTTAAGTTTAACGGAACTGTCCATCATTGCCTTCGCACGACGGTCTTCGATCGAAAGACATTCCTTCAGGTCGGCTGTCGATTCACTAAACTCAGAGTTGTATAGACTTTCTAATTGCTCATGAATAGAACTCATACCCTTCACGTCTTCTTTGCAACCGAGCGCTTGATCAACATGGATACAGTTTAACTGGGCTTCCTTGTAACTGTTTCCCTTCAGAGGTCCCATCACCGTCCAGCCTAAAATTGTTCTTATTGCATGAGGTTGGTTCTTCTTCCCCGCACGTACTTCAAGAGGACAAAGAGCTTCCGGGACGTCACTTCCAATCAGAATGGTTACCTTCTTATCCACTAAATCACTAATGTCAACATCCTTAAGATAAGACCAATCTTGCACGTCACTAGTCGTTGGAATGCTCTCTGGGGCTACTGGTAAACTATCGGTTGTCCACACTTTATTTAATCTAACACCCTTTCCAGTGGCTACTCCGACAACATCGAGAGACAATTGTTGGCCATTTCGTTTCTGGTTTCCTGACACAGTTGACAAGGTAAACTCAACAGGTGTACAATCAGCACCAAGATCTTCAGCTAAGCTGGACAAACACATAGTCGTGTTTGACCCACTGTCCAAAAACGCATAAGTTTCAATAACGTGATTACCATAAGGTGCACTGACCCTGACAGGAACAACTTGAAGGCCAATACGATAGCTGCGAGACGAGGAATTTGTTGCACCAACACCAGATAGATTATGTCCACCAGATTGCATATCTTGCGTAGACCGGTTATTCTCAGGAGCTGAACCGGACTCTGCACCAGGATCTGCTTGGGGAGGTTTGACTTCCTTTTCGGACGAATGCAGTAAAGGGTGGTGTCTTCTTTGGCAACCTTCAACACCGCACATGCGAGCCCCTCTGCAATTCTTTACAAAGTGTCCCGGGCTGAGACAAGCATGACAAACTCTCTTAGACTTTATTAAATCTCTCCTCTGCTGAAGATTCTGAGCTCTAAACTTGTGGCAACGTTCAAGATGGTGGGAACCTTTGCACAGGACGCACAACAAATTTCTGCCTTTCGACTCGTTACCAACATCTTCTACATTCTGTCCGTATGTCGCCAAACTTGTGTTGTTTCCTTTAAAGAAGGGTGGGTTTCTCCTTCCTTTATCTCCACCGTCCTTTCTCATATCAACTTTCGAACCGATGATCTGACCAAAATAGGTATTTGCTACTGCAGCACGAGATTGAACAAACTCTGTTAAGTGGGAGAAATCTGGTGTAACATGCTTATCATATAGCTGGCTTGCTTTCTCTGCCCATTTCGACCTCAAATGAACAGGTAGCCGACTAACCACTTTCCCAAGAGTGTCGATGGAGTTGATGTTTGCCCCATTACCCAACTGAGTGGAACCGAGAAGACATGTTTCCATGTCTCTTGCTAGCTGCGACAACTTCTCATTTTCACTGACTCTGATAGGTGGACCAGCAATCACTTTATCCAGGAAGGATTGTGTTACTACATGATTTCGACCAAAGTTTTTTCTCAGTATTTCTTTCGCACGTTTGTATCCCTCTTCTGGCGGCATGATAATGCAATGTTCTATTGCTTGCCTCGCTTTTCCTTTGCAATATTGAATCAGGTAGTTGAGTCGATCTGCATCATTGCTTTCTTTACTCTCTACATTTACTTCGAAATTTTTTATGAATAGTGGAAAGTTTCGTGGTTCACCATAAAAACTCATATACTCCCGCTGTGGCATTCGCAGGCCTCTGACTACTTCGTCCATCGTATTTTGTTGTCTTTCTAATAAATATTGTAATTGACCTGGACTTTCATGCAGTGGATTTTGTGGGATGGTGTCACTAATACTTGTATTTTGAGGTTGTTGACTATGATAATCGATAACATTGTCATTGTCACTTCTGTTATCCTTATCTCTTTGTAGGGGCCTGGTACTAGCACCATACATTTCTTCTAACTGACGTAATTCGGCTTGTTGTCGCTCTATTTCCCTTCGCTTCACTAGTATTTCATGCTCTGCTTTAGCTCGATTCATTTCCATTTCTAATTTAAGTTTTGCATCATGCATTTGTTTATCTAATTCCTTTCTACGCGCGCTTTCTATTTCTTCCAGTTCGCGCCATCTTTCTGCCCACATTGAATCAAATGAACTCGATGCGCCAGCCCCATTTTCCTCATAATTCACTAACCGAGCGTTATTTTCCCTCGCGGGATCGCTGCGCGTGGGTTTCACGCGTGTTTGTTCGACCGTGTTCACTTCACGAATATTATCACGCGCGGAAATACTTTGCGTGGCGCCCACGCGTGTCAATAATTTTTCCGTGTTTTTATCGCGAATTTTATTAATGTTAGACTCAAACACAGCTGCTAAAGGCGATAAAACTGGGTTTTTCTTCGAAAAAGAAGCAATTTGACTCAGACCCACCTCAAGCTGTCGTTGTTCTTGATCTATTTGCCCTTCTCTTGAAGCAAAACTCGTCGTAGCCTCGCCAGAAGCGACAGATAATGGGCTTTGCAATTGAACAACATCCGTCGTATTTTCGGACTGATCGACATTGTTATCCCTCACAAATACAGGTGAATTTTGAGATTCTAAAACGTTTGCATTGTCTGACTGTTCTTCCTCAGACTCTACTTGATTGGCTTGCGAAGTAGGACTTAATTCATGGTCTGCCGGCGACGTCTGTGACTTCGAAACCTCGTTCGAAACACTAGATTTCCTGGCTCGAGACTTTCTCTTCTTTGTCATGGCGTTGATCAGTTGAAATAATCGTCGAATACGAGAACTATATAAGCTATAAACGATTCCCAGCTTATGTGACCAACGAGAGACACATCAAAGACGCAAAAAACAACACACAATCGATCAAATATATTTATTTCTACAATGTCAATGAACGAATGATATAAATCGATAAACGATGATGATGGTTCTAAATAAACAATAAAGGTTCATCACAATCTATACTTATCCCAAGCAAAAAAGTCATAACTCAAATGTTTTACCTCGTATTTAGGCCACTTCCACGTACAAAAAACTACAAACTATATATTGTATATGACCAAGCACATGGAATAAACAACTGCCCCTAACACATCCGGGCACTTACATAAATTATCATAAATTACCGTCTCGATCCTATACTAACCATAATCTCTCTCAATCCTCATGTTGTCTTGTTAACTCTAACCATAATCTCTCTCAATCCTCATGTTGTCTTGTTAACTCTAACCATAATCTCTTTCAATCCTCATGCTGTCTTGTTAACTCTAACCATAATCTCTCTTAATCCTCATGCTGTCTTGTTAACTCTAACCATAATCTCTCTCAATCCTCATGCTGTCTTGTTAACTCTAACCATAATCTCTCTCAATCCTCATGCTGTCTTGTTAACTCTAACCATAATCTCTCTCAATCCTCATGCTGTCTTGTTAACTCTAACCATAATCTCTCTCAATCCTCATGCTGTCTTGTTAACCCTAACCATAATCTCTCTCAATCCTTATGCTGTCTTGTTAACTCTAACCATAATCTCTCTCAATCCTCATGTTGTCTTGTTAACTCTAACCATAATCTCGCTGAATCCTCATGCTGTCTTGTTAACTCTAACCATAATCTCTCTCAATCCTCATGTTGTCTTGTTAACTCTAACCATAATCTCTCTCAATCCTCATGTTGTCTTGTTAACTCTAACCATAATCTCTCTCAATCCTCATGCTGTCTTGTTAACTCTAACCATAATCTCTCTCAATCCTCATGTTGTCTTGTTAACTCAAATCGTAATCTCTCTCAATCCTCATGAATGCTGTCTTGTTAACTCAAATAGTAATCTCTCTCAATCTGCAGCTGTCGTTGCCACCTACACTGGCACAGACCGTTCGAGTATCAAAGAGACCTTGATACGGCTGAAAAGATCTATTAGGTTTATATATACCGTAGTCTCTTCTATGCCTTTCTGTTAATTCAAATGAAGTAATTCAAATGTAGCTCAGTTACAGGGCCGTCGGTTCGATTCCTGTCAGCTAGCAGACATATGATTGCAGTTTTGGCAGCTGTTCCTGGTTAGGTCTAATAAATGTATATAAATTTACATAATTTCCATCTACAAAACCCAATTAAATTAACATTATTTTGGGTTATATAAACATGTTCGATTGTTCTGACCACGGCACACAGAACATTTTTTCTTGCCAAAATATGTTGCACATATGTCACATATGAGACAAAACGCACACACACCTACAATCCTGGTCAAAAATGTTGGCGCACTTGACACTGACTGTGCAAAATTTGACTCCCACATCAATACAGGCATAGCAACCACCCCTTTCCCCCGCTCAATGTTGTGTGTAGTGTTTTATACGATTGTAGGAGGCATGAGGTGTCAGAAAGGTGCTATTTAAGAGTTGACTGGATGCATTGTATGAAGATATGATGGGTAAGCTGTAAAACATGGAATCTGGAATCTTGGAATCTTCTCATATTACTGCAAAATATGTTATTATCAAGATATTATTATTATACTTGTGCAACATATTGTTCTGCATGTGATAATTTAATACTTGGTGAGTTAGCAGAAGCAGACCTTATATAATATGTCCATCTTGATGCCAATAGTCAATACATAATAATGTAAACGCTGTGCGCGCATCTAAATAATATTGTCGGTTTATGATGAGAGCTAAAATCAAGTGCGTAGCAAGATGACCAGGCGGGAGGCAACTAAAGAAACCATATACAGTACATTATATATATCATTGCAATCAGGAAAACCTCAATTAGATGCACTATAACACCTCGTATTCCGTTAAAAAATACCACACTTGCGAACAATTGCCGAGTTGATATAGGCAGTACAAAACATGGACTGGACCCATGGACTGGACCCTAAATTGGACCCAAAATTGGACTCAAAATTGGACTCAAAATTGGACCCAAAATTGGAGTGAAAATTTTAGCCAAAATTTTGCCGAAAAAATCCATTATTTTTTCGGAGAGAAACAACCCTCAGAATATCGTGCTTTGATTTAATTTGTATAGGCAAAAAACTTCATGTTCCATCACTTTTCCTTGACCTATCTAGCTATTTGTCTTCCAAAATTCTATATTCTATTTTCTAAACGTTATCTAGGGTATCTCGTAAATAATAAACCTTTGTGAAATATCTTTGCGCAATGGTCACAAATACATCACATTGATATAAATCATTCCATCAGACAATATATACATACATCAATATATAGTTATTTTAATTATATACATTTTGTGTCTGTATAATACACCCTCTATATATTCCGGCATATATATCCTCTAACAAGTAACGAGTTCGCAAAGTTTGTTTTGTCCATATATTCTAATATTTATCGCAACTAGCTATATGTGGGCTTATCCGTGATAAATGTATATAATTAAAATAACTATATATTGATGGAATGATTTATGTATAGGCAAAAAACTTCACGTTCCATCCGGCTTTTCCTTGACCTATCTAGCTATTTGTCTTCCAAAATTCTATATTCTATTTTCTAAACGTTATCTAGGGTATCTCGTAAATAATAAACCTTTGTGAAATATCTTTGCGCAATGGTCACAAATACATCACATTGATATAAATCATTCCATCAGACAATATATACATACATCAATATATAGTTATTTTAATTATATACATTTTGTGTCTGTATAATACACCCTCTATATATTCCGGCATATATATCCTCTAACAAGTAACGAGTTCGCAAAGTTTGTTTTGTCCATATATTCTAATATCGCAACTAGCTATATGTGGGCTTATCCGTGATAAATGTATATAATTAAAATAACTATATATTGATGTATATATTGATGGAATGATTTATATCGATGTGATGTATTTGCCGGTGACCATTGCGCAAAGATATTTCACAAAGGTTTATTATTTACGAGATACCCTAGGTAACGTTTAGAAAATAGAATATAGAATTTTGGAAGACAAATAGACTTGTGAACAGACTTGTAACAACTTGTTTGCAGACCTGTAACAACTTCTGCATAATATTTTTTACGCGTGTTTATAGTCTGGAAATGTGCAAACCAAAAGATATTTTGTCAGACAATTTTCAACACTTCGTTGAACGAACCATTGGTATATTTTCGTCACGTAACTACCTTTATAGTTTTTATGTAAAAGAAGTGTATTTTGTTTGTATTGTTAATGTAAGTTTTCTGACGGAAGGGCCTTTGGCTTTGACCGAAACGTCGAGAAGTTTCTATTTTTTCGTTTTAGATTGAGTGCTTGGCGTGTTGATGTCATAGATATAGTTGATATTCTCAAGAGCTTCCAATATCAGAACAATATCAGCGATGACTTATAAATAGACCGCGCAATTCCAAGATAAAATAGAACAGCAGAGAATAGAGTATGTTGTGAGTCCAGTGTTGGTAGTATTCTACTGCGGTGGTATATGTCTAAACCTCAGTGGTCTGTGAACTACACTCGTAAAAATCTCACATCTTATAGCACGTCTGCCAACAAGCCATCAACAAGTTGTGTTCGCACTGCTTGTCTCAAGTTGTCAACAAGTTTGGAACAAACACGTGACAACCTTGTTGATATTATCAGACTTGTTACAAGGTTGTTCCAACAAGTCCGATGCAGTTATGATATAACAATATTGTTACAACATTGTGTCGTCAACCTTGAAACATTCTTGTTATATCATGGCTGTAGCAGACTTGTTAGAACAACCTTGTAACAAGTCTGATAATGTCATCAAGCTTGTTGCAAGTTGCTAAACAGCAATTATTCCAAATTTGTTACAACAACTGGGAACAAGCAGTGCGAACACAACTTGTTGACAGCTTGTGAACAGATTTGTAACAATTTGTTCGCAGACGTGTAACAAGGCTCTATACAGGGTGTCTCAAAAAAACCCAAAATCATTGAAATTGACGTATTGTTCGATATTCAATGCCCTAGCACTAAGTTAATCCCACGAGTGCATAAAAGATTGACATAACTGCTATAATGAATGGTACTACTCAGCGTAAACTTGTTATGTCAGGCATAAACACAGAATAAAGATCAGTAACAGAAGGGCCACTCAGCGGTGCAACGTGTCCTCGTTTTTTTATGCAAAAATATGCAGTTTACTGGCCAGAAGGCGGAGCAGCCAGCCAGTACAGCGTGTTTATTGGCCAGAAAATGTCATTGACTGGCTAGGAAAATGGCGGCCAACATGCGTAATGCGACATGCGCGAGGACAAAAACTTCAAAGCTTCCGACGTAAGTTGCCCTTCTATGTGGATCTTTATTCTATGGGCATAAAGTACTAAACCCACGAATGCATATTACGCATATTACAATTTACGAAGCATTTTTAAATTCCCATGAGCAAACAAACGTTCACTTTACAAAGATATTTTAATTTTTTAAAACAAATTAATCACCCTGTCAAAATCCTTTGTGTTACGGCATTGAAATTCGAACAATACGTTATTTCAATGATTTTGGGGTTTTTTGAGACACCCTGTATAGCTCTATGTACTTTCTGGATGAATTTTCTGGAAGCGTATGTAATTATATTTCGTGAACTCCGGTCGAAATATATGAGAATACAAGTGGGGTGACTTCGTCTTTACCGTGCTTCGGAACGGTAAAGACGAAGTCATACCACTTGTATTCACATATATTTCGACCGGAGTTCACTCATATAACCCCAATTATTATAAGTAATAGCATAGAAAGAGGCGAATTAGCTATTAAAACGTCCCGCCCGATGAGGGTCGTTTAGTAAAATTCCCTTGGGCGCCGCTCGATGAGGGTCATTTAATAGCTAATTCGCCTCTTTCTATGCTATTACCTCGCAGGGCCATCAATGTATAAATTAAATGGTATTATTGTTTTCCATGTCTTTGTTTAGTTTTGGCGATTTAATATATATTCATTTTTTCTAATCGTACCCGCTTTGACGTCGTTTCAGGTAGGATTAGAACTAATTCTACCTGACATGACGTAAAAGCGGGTACGATTAGAAAAAATGAATATAATGAGGTGTATTAGTTATTAATTGCCCTGCGAGAACAAAGGGAATACCCGCAATCATGATATTATACTAATTATACCAACAGGCTCATCCGCCCTTGTATAATTAGCAATTATGCTTGACCTTACCTGCGAGCAGGCTGATGTAAATTACATAACCAATCGTATTTTCATTGGCAGATGCGGGTGTAACTACAACATTCGTAGTTCGAAAAAAAAAACTACAATAAAACATGGCTTATCCACCGCCGCAAGGGAACTTCTCGTATCAACGAGCTTATCCACCGAACTACGACCAAAATCCATATCCTCCTGCTATCGGCTTTCAAAATTATATAGCTACAGACCCCGTTCAGCCGAGCCAAAATACAGCATACCCTCCGACGACTGTCGCTTATCATGGCACACCACCGCCACTGGAGACCCAAGTACATGCACCTCGATCGAACGGGAATTCGTTTGATGATATCCCTGAAGTGGGATTTGAAAGGTACGAGAGGAAACCTCACCAACCTTCGGCTAAATCTGCTTCTGGAGTCGAGCTTGAGAACGTCGAAGAATTACAGGACGATTATGGAAACGCGCAACAAGACGAGCAATTGTCTGATAATTCAACGACGAGAATTCAGGTACGTATCTTGTTCTGTTTTGTTGGAATTTTTTGAAGGCTGCTAGCTGTATGAATGGTTTAAGATATAGTGGTATGGTTGGGGTATTATTAGAGTTTTTGAACGAGAAATTGGGTTGTAGAAAATGCAGTAAAATCGATTCCAACTTCAACAATTAATAGACGAGCGCTGAGCTGTCTGATAATTCAGCTACGAGAATTCAGGTATTTTGTTCTGTTTTGTTGAAATTTGTTAAAATCTGGTACTTGTATAAATGGTTTAAGATATAGTGTTAAGTTTGGGGGTATTATTGAGGTTTTTGAGCTAGAAATTGGATCAAAGAAATTCAGTAAAATTAATTAACGTTCAACTTCAAGAAAATCAATAATTGTTTTGCTTGTCAATGTTTACCATGAATGTGTATTAAATCCTAAAATCCGTGGAAATTTTATGCTAAAATCTGTCATGTTTGTTAAGTTTGTGTAGGATTTAAGTTCGGGTAGTTCTTAAGGACAATCAATGTCGAAAGTTGAAAGTACACAATTTTGCAAATTCAAATATAAATACTATTTAAATACATTCATTCAGAATATAATTGTCCAAAAACAATAATATTTATAGCTATAGTTCAGTCTAAGAATCTTGTAACATATAAAAAAAACCTTTGATCTATTGAAATTTTATTTGATTCAATCATCAAAAAGAATCGGCACTTTTGAAATAACAAGGAATATGAAATATCGAATAAAGACTTCTTTAATTAAAACTACTCAAAGCATACATCTTAGAAATATTCGACTGGGCCTATATGCAAATAAGTAATTAACAACCAGCTGTAAATGCACACGGCTCTTCCTTTGACGAGTAAAATTGTTTGGCATTATTATACAGAGTAAAATTATAGTAAAGTAAAGTACTCTAGTGTACATTTTGGGGCACATTGCTGCTTAATGGGTTAATTTGCAGCACATACTAACTAAAGTCATTAGATGAAGCTTGATCATTATTTTGACTTGCTACAAAATTATGCAATTTTTTCAAACACATGCCATTAAAGATGCAACAGCTCACAGATGTTCTTTAATACTTAAAATTATAAATGCTCCAAAACAAAAATAGATGGGAATTTTTTACATCTAAAATTCTGCATCTTGGCAACGTCATAGATTAAGCCTCTGATCGCAATGCATGTCAACCACGGAAGCATGACATCGGTCAATCCTTTACAGTAACATGTTACAAATATAAAGACATTTGACAAATCAATTTGTGCTTGCATAATTATATTTATTATTATTCGTTGACATTTTCTTACATATATATAGATGGATCAATTCAGTGTTAGCCTATAAATGCAAAATGGCACTAGAAAATGTGCAGTATTATACATTGATACATAGTATCGCTAGAGTAGAAAGTGGTTTCAATATCATAGCTTTAAGTGGTATTTGACCTGTGGTATAATCCATCAAGCACTAATTTGAAGTATAACTCTCATGAATTCCAGTTGAGTTTGTTCAATGTTTAATTGACATGCATACAGTACCAGAAGCCAAGTTTTAGGTAATACATTTACCATATCAGTGCTGGGTCAGGAATGTTTTTATTTTGTTAAATAATAAATTCCTGAAATATTTGTCAATATGTTAATAAGATTGTCAAACACTGCAACTGTCAAACACTGTTGTATGCTAGGTCAAGGAGTGTGTATCTATTAGTGATCAAGGAGTGTGTATAGCTCCAGCAATTTACTTGGAGATTTGGGAAATTTTTGGAAATTTTCAGTGGATTTTAATTAAAGAATATTCTGGCTTGAATTTCAAAGTTTTTATGTGATTTTTGAGAGTAAAATTGTCTGGCATTAGACAGAGTAAAATAATAAAGTTGGGCTCATTTGGGTGCATTGGATAAAGTAAATTAAATATTTTAAAATATAGTTGTAATTTTGAACTTCATGCAAGTGATGATTGAGTGACTTTATTTGAAAGTAAAATAACTTAGGGCCTGTTTATATGGAAGCCGGGCTGGCCCGCTTAGCGAGACAACCCGGTAAGCGAGATCTCACTGTGTAGTTATAATTATAGTAAAAATTATTGTGCGTTTATATGGACAAGCGGGCTGGCCTGGTTGCCGAGATCTTGCTTGAAAGAGGCGCAATCTCGCTTACCGGGATGGAAATTTCTTCATATAAACACTCACAAGCAGGCTAGCCCGGTTGCCGGGATGAAAGTTAAAAGATACCGCCGCAAGCTATTTTTAACAACTGTCAAAACAACATCAATGTAACAAAATTGTCCCGGCAAGCGGGATGAAATTTTCTCATATAAACACAAGAGAAATTCATCTCGCTTATCGGGCTGTCTCGCTAAGCGGACCATATAAACAGGCCCTTAATACACTCTGCTAAAAATGTGATTTTGTGCTAGCATCGATCCTTTCAGACTTTCTACACTATAGCTAGTAGGATTTAATCATTGTAATCTTTATTAATTAATTCAATTTAGTTGGACAGCCAGCCGAAACCATTGTATTTCCGAGACTGCAGAAGGAAAATAGACTACATACTTGCATATCAAGAACACCCGGACAAAAATGCTGAATGGCAAGAGAAGAGAAAGGACAAACGAGAATTTTTTGAGAAGAATTTGAAAGAACAAGGACTTGAACTGGAGCAAGAAGACTTCGAAGTGAGCCTGAAGTTTTGTTTTGATCAATTACTAGTAAAACATTTTTTCAGCATTAAACTTTATTTATACTGGATAGCTCTATCAGTTCTAAACTGTTCTCCCTAGATGTCCGGCTAGCAATGGACAACTTGCATGTTAGACTAAATTTTAATCTAAGTAAAGAGAAGGGAATCAAACACCGCAGCTAAAAAGAATATAATGAAATTAGTAAAATTGCAGAGTTTGGTTATATTACATGTGGAAATTGCTTTTTCGGCTCAAAAATGATAACAATTTCCACACACAATATAAACATATACAAAATATGCAAACTTTGCAAGACTATATTTTCCATATTTTACAACATTTTGTAACAAGAATATTTTGCAATTTTACTAATATTAATAAGTTCTTCACAGGAATTTACTTTTTTTTCCTGGATCAAAAATTAGTC